ACTTTACAGTATTATCTAAAAATGGGTATGAAACTTACCAAGGTTCATAGGATAATAAGATTTCAACAGAGGGCTTGGTTGAAACCATGGATTGACTTCAACACTGGTAAGAGGAAAGAAGCAAAGAGCGACTTTGAGAAGATTTGTTTAAATTAATGAATAACGCGGTGTATGGAAAAACTATGGAAGACAAGAGAAAACATATGGATTTTGAATTGGTAGATAATGATGTTAGATTTGAAAAATGTGTGAATAATCCAACATTCAAAAATAGATTTATCATTAATGAAAATCTGGTAGGAGTGGAGAAAACTAAAGCGAAACTGAAAGTGGATAAACCCATATTCTTAGGAATGACAATTTTGGATTTGAGTAAACTACAGATGTATGTGTTTTACTATGGTGTGTTGAAAAAGAAATACAACGAAAATATCAAATTGATATATACAGATACTGACAGCTATGTAACCCAAACCTTCACACTGATGATGTCTACAAGGATTTTCAAGGTATCAAGCAACATATGGATTTTAGCGATTATCCTGTTGAACATCCATGCCACGACAAAACAAATAAGAAGGTCTTAGGGATGTACAAAGATGAATGCTCTTCAAAGATAATTACAAAGTTTATAGCACTCAAACCAAAGTCATACGCTTTCACAATCCACGGCGAGGATGAGGAACACAAGAAATCGAAAGGTGTTGTTAAACATAAGGTTAAAAAGGAATTAACATATCAAAACTATGAGGAATCACTTTATCAAAGCAAAAAGCACGAAATCACCTACAACTTCATCAGGAGCAAAACACATCAAATATATTCAATGTCTCAAGTCAAGCAATCACTATCAAACTATGAAAACAAAAGGTTTTATATTGATGCTTTCAATTCAATCCCGTATGGGCACTTTTCCATAAAATACATATCTAAATAATTCTAATAATATGAAATTATTAGAATTATTAGAATTATTTAGTGGGGGGTTTGGGCTTCAAACTTGAAATTGGGGTTGTTGGTGATGAGCTTGAAACGGAGTTTCTGATTTTTTGGAAATGTTAGATTATGGAAATGGTGGATTATGCCTTGTTTTGGTGGGTTAGGGTAAAGAGGAGTTGAAGGGGTTGAAGGGAAGAAACCTTGAAAAATTGGTTTGGGGGTAAACATTGAAACAGAAAATTTGCGAGAGTTTCCCCTTTCAATTAAACAACACGTTTAAGGAAAGAACCCTCCCTCCTTGCCCTCCCGTCCCTCCCGTCCCTCCAAAGTCTTGATGTCGATGACGGCCTACCTTCTGACAAACAGGGATGCATAAAAGGGGTGGGTTTGGGCTTGGGCTTGAAACTTGAAACTTTGGGGATGTTGGTGATGAGTTTGAAATGGATTTTGTGATTTTGGGGCTTGGCTGATTTGGGAAATGGTGGATAGTCCCCTTAATTTAGTGTGTTTGTGGAAAGTGGAGTTGAAGGGGTTGAATGGTGTCAGTGGTAGATGGCTCAAACGTCAGGCTCTGTAAGCTAGCTCGGTAAAATCACTCCCTCCATTGTTTTGGTTTAACCCTCACTCCGAAACCCTAAACAATAATCTCAAAAAAATCCCTGTGTCACTCGAACCTGGAAAAGGTTAGTCTGATAGACGATGATGGCGATGTCTTCCCAACCTCAGAAAGAGAGCTGGTGTTGAGACTGGCAGGTTAAATCAAAACAAGTGAGTTGTCAAGCAGACCTTCGCCTTACACCTTCAACAAGCTCGTCCAAACATTCGTCTCTTTTCACCCCACAGCCTCCAAGTATGTAACGTATTGATTCTTTGTCTTACCTTGGGAAATGGTCATCCTTCAAAGAAGACCGTGTCCATGCGAAGGTATCAAACAAAAAACATATACACACAAGGCGAGACTCCACCCTGAAAGACCAGTTGTCCCAAAGTTCGGGATGTTTTGTCCAGGGGATGTTTTATCCAAGGGATGTTTCATCCCGAGTTTCGGGATGTTTTGTCATTTTATCCCGGGATTCGGGATGTTTTGTGATTTTATCCCGGGATTCGGGATGTTTTGTCATTTTATCCCGGGATTCGGGATGTTTTGTCATTTAATCCTCGGATTTGGGATGAACTGGTCTTCCATCGGAAATCACGCGTCTGTACGGTTGTTTCTCATGATTTGACCCATCATGAGTCCCTGAGCCCCTTGATACAGTTTCAAATGTAAAAAACAGAGAAACTACATGAGCGAGCCGCTTCATCCTCCATAGGTGCATCTGAATTAGCATTCTGTTGCTCAATCCGCTCACGAAAGCCAGAACGGTAAGCCTTGATGTTCTCCAAGTGCTTCCTCACAGCCTTCATGTCAAAGCACGCCACACCAGAAGCCAACTTGTTGAACTCGCCAGCAAAGCACCTGACCGATGCCTTGACGATTTCTTCTTTGGTACGAGTGAGATGACAAATGACGGTCTCTAAGTCGTTCAACTCCTCAAACATCACATAGCTCGCTTGGAAGATACGGTCTTCGCTGTAGCCACCTGACAAATCTCTGAATATTTCTTTGAGACAGCCAAGCTTCTCGTCTGACAATGACTTCATCCAGTCACGAAGTATGTGATGTCCTCCATCAATCTGTGCATTGACGGTTCTGACCTTGGAGAGGATGGGGTCAAGAAAGTTGTTCATATTCATGGGAAGTTGCCCTGGGTTTTCATCAAGAGCATCTTTGAAGTGGCGATCCTTGATGGTTCGCACTGATTTCTCTGCCAGCTTCTTGACCTTGTCGTTGTTCTTGACATAGCCATTTATCACACTGCGAGAAGGCGGCATTGAGGATTAGCAACAGGAAACCACCAAAATGGTGTGAAGCCAAAAACAGCTGCGAACAATATGACAAATGCGTATCAGGACAAACCATCAATCAGCCATCAACCAGCCTCAAGGCAAGGTGTGTTCAAACAGACTCCAAGCAGTCAAGCGGTCAAAATGACCTCACAAGGCGACAAGTAAGTAGGCTTGTGTGTTCGCATAGGTAAGACGATTGCATCAAAGGCAGAAAGCCTTGGATAAGCACTTTTCCACCATCGCAAGCTTTTGGGTTTGTCACCAGACCACGGTAATTGCATAGCAAACTTCGTGAGCCGTTTCCAAAATCATAGGACAAGACCAAATCCAAGCAACACATTGTGAAGGTGATGATTGGTTTTCATCAAGGAAGGGTATGGTCCTTGGCTGTTGCCCTCATTGAAGGTCTTACTTCTTCTTGGCTGGCATCATCTTGTCCTCGTCCTGGTCCTCGTCGACGCCTTCGTTGGAGACCTCCATCTCGTCCTCGTCCTCGCTCTCGTCCTCGTCCTCATCAACAAGGGAGACCGTGTCCGTGGAGGCACTTTGGCTTGGGTGCATCCAGAACACAGCGAAGGACGCTTCCATTCTTTACTCCATGGGTGACAAGCTCCCTGCGAGCGTTGTCATTCAGGCACACATCTCCCAAGTAGAACCGCAAGCGAGCCATATCCTTCTTCTTCAAGATGAAAGTCTTGGTCAGCATCGTCATCAGCTCACGGCGGATATCAGCCACAGTGTCGCTTGCCATCACCTCAACTTCATAGACCTGCCCCTGGAACTCGATCTTGACGATGAAGACTTGCCCACGCTTCTCGGCAGACGCCTTCTTCTTCACTTCGGAGCGTTGCAGGGCTTTCTTCTTATTCTCAGCCTCCCTCTCCTCCTTGGTTGGCTTGTTGCGATTGTTGTGAGCAATCATCTCGTCGCTGGTCGTGTCGGGCTGGTTGTCAGCATCTGGCTGACTGTCAGCGTTGGCATACCCTGCGGCTGCCTTCGCCCTTGCGTCAATCTTCTTTGGGCTCATTATGCTCAACTACAGAAGGTAAAGTCGCTAGCAAGGCTTGACAAGAAGCTACGGTGTCATTCAGCTTTTGACTGACAGCAACAACATCAATGTCTTCTATACAATTCTACTTGCTTCAATCACTCCACTTGCCACACTGTCACAGTCGCTGAGCCACCCGACAGGACAAAGGAAGATGTCATTGTCCACGAAGCGCGGGCAGAGAGACGACCGAATTAATGGGGTGAGCGAAGCAAAACCAGAAGACCCGCCCAAAAGCCAACCCGTGAAACCACAGAAAGTCCTAACCTCTTTCAATCAATAAAACTAAAGGTTGAAATCAGGAACGAAACAGGGGACCAAATCATCAATTCGTTACCACATTCATATCGTCATTTCTTGGCCCCAGAAACAGCCTTCAAAAAACGAATAAGATAGAGCACGTGTTGAATTATGAAATACAAAACAGAACAGGCAACCCCCCACCCCCTAAGACAAGCCTTTTCTACATTTTTTGGGTGTGGGGGTGGGGGTGGGGGTGGGGGTGGGGGGGGGGTGGGGTGGGGTGGGGTGGGGTGGGGTGGGGTGGGGTGGGGTGGGGTGGGGTGAGGTGGGGTGGGGTGGGGTGGGGTGGGGTGGAGATGGGGGTAGGGGGGTGGGAGGTCACACTACTTGCCCAATAAGCCGCTGATCTCATTTTTGTTGCACTTGGTGAGGCCTGCGGTAAGTGGCTCAGGTCCGATTTAACATGGACTCTGCCATGACGCGAGAGTGGACCCACGGGTTCCAATCGTCAAAATGATTTCCTCATAGCGAACCATACCTTCGAAGGAAACTTCTCTACCAGCCCTTTTTTGTGGATTCTCAACGGAAACCAAAACGAACGCCAACCATGCCGGGGGTCCCCTTAAATAAGGAAGGCCCACATTGCTTCTTGGTGAGAGCTTTGATCTTGAAACATACCCATTTCCCACCAAGTAGCCCAAGCAGTTCACTTTTTGTAGGGATCAAACATGAAATGACAGCCCAGTCCCAGTTCCTTAAAGATACACTCCAAAACTTCGGGGTGGCAAGGTTCTGATTGCCTAAGTAACTGGAATTTATTGGGCAAAAACATGTCTGGCCAACGGGTCCACCGGGTCAGCGACCGGCCGCCGCGCTCGAGGCTTTAGCGCGGCTAGGGGCCATCCGCGCACGGCTGCGGCAAAGTCTGCGGCGCTGGCTGGGTGCGCGAGAGGTGCGCGGGGGGTGGGGTGGGGTGGGCTACGGGGTGGGCTACGGGGTGGGCCACGGGGCGGGGTGGGGTGAGTGGGGTTGGGGGGGGGGTCTAAGGGGCGAGTCAGGGGACTCCGCCAAAGTGATCAACCTGCCGGCAAAGCCTGGAAAATGTGTGGGGAATCAACTCTTTGAGTGGCTTCAAGCCAACATATCGCACCTAATCGCTTCTTTTGGGAGTTTACCCCCTCCCCCCCCCGGGGAAAACGAATGGACACACACCGTTTTGGAGGTTGCGCTTTACGTGATCTCCCCTCAAAACCAAGAGAAGTCAAAATTCTGGCGCATTGAAGACTTGCACCAAACCAGCACCAAACCAAACCAACCACCAAAATCCGACACCAAATTGAAAAAGTCGCAAAGACGACCAGCACCCCCCAACAACATGTCCAAACTCCCCTAGCCAAAAAGTCGTAGTGGGGGGGGAACCAACGTGTCCCCTTGGTACGGTGGATGCCCTGAAAGTTGCACGTAAGCTAACCGTCCACGAAACCATGGTAAAGTAGGGTAAGTTCGAGGTTCTACCCGTACCCAACCACCAAACCATGGCAAAGTAGGGCAAAATTCGAGGGTTCTATCCGTACCAATCCACAAAACCATGGCAAAGCAGGGTAAATTCGAGGGTTCTACCCGTACCCAACCGCCAATGGCAAAGTAGGGTAAAATCGAGGGTTCTATCCGTACCCGTCCGTACCCAAAAACCATATCGAGGGTGCTACCCGTACCCAACCACCAAACCATGGCAAAGTAGGGTAAGATTCGAGGGTTCTATCCGTACCCGTCCGTACCCAAAAACCACGTACCCAACCACCAAACCATGGCAAAGTAGGGTAAGATTCGAGGATTCTATCCGGACCCAACCACAAAACCATGGCAAAGTAGGGTAAAATCAAGTGTGCTACCCGTACCCAACCACCAAACCATGGCACAGTAGGGTAAGATTCGAGGGTTCTACCCCTACCCAACCACCAATGGCAAAGTAGGGTAAAATCGAGGGTTCTACCCGTACCCAACCACAGAACCATGGCAGAGTAGGGTACAATCAAGGGTGCTACCCGTACCCAACCACCAAACCATGGCAAAGTAGGGTAAGATTCGAGGGTTCTATCCGTACCAATCCACAAAACCATGGCAAAGTAGGGTAAATTCGAGGGTTCTACCCCTACCCAACCACCAATGGCAAAGTAGGGTAAAATCGAGGGTTCTATCCGTACCCGTCCGTACCCAAAAACCATGGCAGAGTAGGGTATATGGTAAAATCGAGGGTGCTACCCGTACCCAACCACCAAACCATGGCAAAGTAGGGTAAGATTCGAGGGTTCTATCCGTACCCGTCCGTACCCAAAAACCACGTACCCAACCACCAAACCATGGCAAAGTAGGGTAAATTCGAGGGTTCTACCCCTACCCAACCACCAATGGCAAAGTAGGGTAAAATCGAGGGTTCTACCCGTACCCAACCACAGAACCATGGCAGAGTAGGGTAAAATCAAGGGTGCTACCCGTACCCAACCACCAAACCATGGCAAAGTAGGGTAAGATTCGAGGATTGTATCCGTACCCAACCACAAAACCATGGCAAAGCAGGGTAAAATCAAGGGTGCTACCCGTACCCAACAACCAAACCATGGCACAGTAGGGTAAGATTCGAGGGTTCTATCCGTACCAATCCACAAAACCATGGCAAAGTAGGGTAAATTCGAGGGTTCTACCCCTACCCAACCACCAATGGCAAAGTAGGGTAAAATCGAGGGTTCTACCCGTACCCAACCACAGAACCATGGCAGAGTAGGGTAAAATCAAGGGTGCTACCCGTACCCAACCACCAAACCATGGCAAAGTAGGGTAAGATTCGAGGGTTCTATCCGTACCAATCCACAAAACCATGGCAAAGTAGGGTAAATTCGAGGGTTCTACCCCTACCCAACCACCAATGGCAAAGTAGGGTAAAATCGAGGGTTCTATCCGTACCCAACCATAAAACCATAGCAAAGTAGAGTAAATCAAGTGTGCTACCCATACCCAACCACCAAACCATGGCACAGTAGGGTAAGATTCGAGGGTTCTATCCGTACCAATCCACAAAACCATGGCAAAGTAGGGTATATTCGAGGATTCTACCCGTACCCAACCACCAATGGCAAAGTAGGGTAAAATCGAGGGTTCTACCCGTACCCAACCACCAAACCATGGCACAGTAGGGTAAGATTCGAGGGTTCTATCCCCAATCCACCCATGGCAAAGTAGGGTAAATTCGAGGGTTCTACCACCCATGGCAAAGTAGGGTAGAATCGAGGGTTCTACCCGTACCCAACCACCAAACCATGGCAAAGTAGGGTAAGATTCGAGGGTTCTACCCCCACCCACCCACCAATGGCAAAGTAGGGTAGAATCGAGGGTTCTACCCGTACCCAACCACCAAACCATGGCAAAGTAGGGTAAGATTCGAGGGTTCTACCCCCACCCACCCACCAATGGCAAAGTAGGGTAGAATCGAGGGTTCTACCCGTACCCAACCACCAAACCATGGCAAAGTAGGGTAAGATTCGAGGGTTCTACCCCCACCCACCCACCAATGGCAAAGTAGGGTAGAATCGAGGGTTCTACCCGTACCCAACCACAAAGCCATGGCAAAGTAGGGTAAGATTCGAGGGTTCTACCCCCACCCACCCACCAATGGCAAAGTAGGGTAGAATCGAGGGTTCTACCCGTACCCAACCACAAAACCATGGCAAAGTAGGGTAGATTCGAGGGTTCTACCCGGGCAAAGTAGGGTCGAGGGTTCTTCCCGGGCAAAGTAGGGCAGAGTCTAGGTCCACCAGTAGTGCCCTTTCTCACCCCTTTCTTTGGTTGGGAGGGTTCCCCTACTAAAATAGACTAAAAAGAGAAAAGTTGGTACCAACTTATTGTAACCTCTCACATCTGGAGGACCTAGTAATGTCAACCCCGGATTGGTCAACCCTATGGGCGTGTGCCTGGCCTAGTGGGGATTTATCACTGTTGGGGAACACACCCCATACCCGACCACCAATGGCAAAGTAGGGTAAAATCGAGGGTCATGTGAATGAGCAGTCCTCCACGTCGCCAAAGCGTTCGGGAGGTGGGTCCGCTGCTGCGCTGCGCCGCCGACCTCTGGCAGGCCGAGCGCCTGGCGGAGGCCGAGGAGTGGTGGTGGTGGCGGTGGTGGTGGTGGTGGGGTTTCCGCCTTTTTAACCACAAGAAAAAGTGGGCAACCCGAAAAAGAAAAACGGATGTATTTTTCATATGTATAGATGTCTAAAACAACGAGTTATATTGTTTTACCTATGTCAGATAATGCAAGTCAAGCCCGGAAGAAGACTTGCGGATTCTTTTCGGGGCCCTCTTAAAAGGGACACCCATTAGTGAGCCAGGTAGACACCGACGGTCGCCACACTTGATTCTCTACATTCGGGTAGGCCGCTTTGGTACACTGTGTCTCGAATGCAAGCCCCCCAAAACAAGGAGGAGTTTGAAGCATTCCTCCACTGCCGTCCCTGGCCTTTTTCTGGTTTTTGGGTTTCACCTTGTGTCTTGTGTGGGCTTTCTGGGCTCCAGACTGAAAGCAGCTTGCGCCCGCGGCAAGCCGGGCTGATGAGCCCTGTCGAGATCAGCGCCCGTAGGGCGCTGGCTTGGCTTAGCCGTTGGCTCTTGGGTCTCCGGACTCAGCTTTTGCTTTCGGTCTTGGGAGTAGGCTTAGGGTTGATTTGAAAAGGAGCCAACCTGGAACCCACCCATTTGTGCCTTTTTAGAGCCCATGATTTGCATATGTCTCGGAGCGATCAAAGTCGACGGCTGTTTCCCTTTCAACTACCACTTGGGGGGCTGACTTCGGAAATGGTAGCATCGCAGGACCCGTACAATCTCAAGTCGGTGAAAGTATGAGGTTTATAGGATCTGACTCTCCCCTCCACTGGTCCATGCCCTTCCTGGTAAAGCTGCCCGAATCAAGTGTCATCACGCAGGTGACTTCATCGGAACGGGGGAGCGCCGGGGGGATGCGTGGTGGTGTTGCATCCTATTAAAAACACATAAATTGTTCATGGTCCCGCCCTCCCAAATGATTGGTGGACCTAAACCCCTTTGCCTAAATGCTGTCCACAGGGTCTCCAATGAATTCATGCCCAGATGGATTCCAGTTCAGGATCATGATTCGCATCATTTGTTATACTGTGAATGGAAAATCCTCGCCACGTAAGAAGCCCTGGTTTCTGCTTCGATCCCCTTGCAAACACCAATAAACCTTCTGGTTTCAAGCCTTGACTGCTATTGGGTTGGATCTTTAGACTTTAACTTTTTGGGAACTAAGGGTGTTTCCCACTAAACCCCCAAAAAGTTAAACAACCAATAACTTTTTGCAGGGGGGGTCGTTCCCGCAACCAAGAAGCATGGCAGCTCATTCCCTGGTGCGAGTTCTGGATCCTCCGCTAACCGAGTCATCGCAGCCCGGAGCCGCGGCTCGGCGCAGGCCGATGAGTCCGAGCGCGAGGCCAAGCGTCCATGCCTCAGTTGGCCAGCCGCTCGCCTGGAATAGCCGAGACTTGGACGGTGCCGGGGTGAAGCAAATGCCAGCCCTTAAAGGTGGGGAGAATTGTCGTGCGTTCCTCGGTTTTGTACTTGATACCCTGGTTGAAACCGTGGGTTTGGTGGTTGAAACCCTGGGTTTGGTGCTTGAAGCCCTGGGATTTGTGGGAGTCCTGCTATGTTTGGTTGCGCAAGTTTTGCCGTCCCAGTACAAGATGTTGCCGGTTTCCTGCTTGCAACATGATAGGCGACCGTGTGCGTCCACCCCCACGGACCCTTCATTTGAGGTCAGTTGCGTGCTCAAAGCCATATGAGTCATATCGTGCAACCTGGTTGCATTGGGTCTACAAGTGAGGTCAGGTTTCCGGCCATAGCTGGTGTAGTGGTATCCGCTTCGCAAGGGGAATCGGCCGAATCCCTGAGTCCATTCCTGCGCCTTGCTCAGTCACCGGGTGATCTTGTTTATCCATGGCAGCCCTTCGTTTGAGCAGGACTCATAGAATTATTTATTGCTTTTTTTGGTTGGCACGCATTCCTGTTATCAAGCCTTCCAACAAATTGCCCACTCGGGGCTATTCAGATGTGTAGGATGCTGTACTTTCTGCCAGACGTCGCTGGATTGGTTTTTGACGGAAGCCGGAGGGAACTGACCCTTGGACCAAGAACCATGGCAAGAGATCGCTTCCTTGCCCTAGAAGTGCACCTGGTGCATTCCACAGGGCCCAACTCCGGCAGGGAATGAGCAAAAAACCTGTGGCTTTGCGTGGCTTGCGTGAAACACGAACCTGGAGCAGGACTAGTCCCTACCAACCAGAAGGGTCTCAGAACTCCCCTGAAGCATTCTGAAAAGCTTCTAACAACTTTTTTTCCCAGGGTTTGGGATCAGCCGTCGATTTCTTCCTGTTTCGCCCTTTGCCGTTGCCCCAAGGAGGTGCCGGTACCGCAGCTTGCAGCGGAGCTGCGGGCGAAAGCCGGCGGCGGCGACTCATCGGGTGAAAGCCGCGTGCGCGTGGAGGAAGGTCCTGCAGTCTCGAGCGCGCAAAACTCGTGGCCCTGCGTGCGTGTACACCTCACAGGGTGAAGATGGCACAAGTCTGTAGGATTTCTCAGAATAGGAACCAGTCCGTTTCCTATGGGGGTGTCCTTGATATCCTATGGGGGTGCACAGCTTACAGCGTGATGGCACAAGTCTTTGGGGAGTTGGGATTTCGCCCCTGGAATAGGAACGAACCCCTGCGGTTTTCCAAAAATTGGGTGTCCGAAACGGTTTCCCCGGAACCGGAAGGGCATCAGAAGCCATGATGGAGTTGTGCCATGTACTTTCACCCAAGTGTATCTAGGTTCAAGCCTGTACAGCTAGGTTCCAGAGTCGCCCGACAAGTCTTCTGCTTTCCATAGCGTATGACTCTTGAGTTTCGATACGGCGCAGGAGGAAAAAGGCGGCCATCACACCCCTCGCGGGGGGTTGAAGGATCCGAGGAAACGGTGAAATGGTTGCAGCCGATTGGGTGCGTTTTTTGGAGGGCACGCCCTTGTTGGCTTTCAAACAAAACTAAACGGACAACCACCAGTTTGGGGTTTCCCTATTTGAAGACACACCCAATGGCGTTGCGTAGAAGCGGGGTGGAGTCGTTTGTGTTTGCCAGAGTTCCGAACTATTGATGGTGTCAAGAGGGTTAGCGACCCGATTCAATTGTCTCCCACCGATTGCTTGGTCTCTTCTCTGATTCCTTCAGACAGCGGCGATGTGGACGCAGGGCATCCGTTTCCAGGGCACAGGGCAGGGACCCTTTGGAGCCGCGAAGAAGAAGGAGAAGGAGAAGGAGAAGGAGAAGGAGAAGGAGAAGGAGAAGGAGAACGAGAAGAAGGAGGAGGAGGAGAAGGAGAAGGAGAAGGAGAAGCAGAAGGGAGTGGGAGAACGAGAAGGAGAAGGAGAAGGAGAAGGAGAAGGAGAAGAAGAAGAAGAAGAAGAAGAAGAAGAAGAAGAAGAAGAAGAAGAAGACGAAGAAGAGTGAACCGAGGAGAGGCAAATGGTTGGCTTGCCTTTGCCCAGCGGCCCAAACGGTGCCTTCCCCTTTTTGCTGGCGTGCAGGTGAGCCAAGAGGAGTTCGACAACGCGCGGAAGGTGGGGAGAGAGACGGAGTCAGCAGACCCTCGTGACTCTTCGGGCGAGAGCTTTTTGGACCTTGGGACATTTGTTGGTTGAGTGGAGCCACTGAAAAGTCCCATTGTAGCAAGCAAGCAGCTTGCAGCTGTGTCTGCTTGTTGGATTTGAAGGCAGATGGAAAGGCAGTCTTTCGGACCAGTTGGATCTGCCAAGCTGCGGCGTCGGTTTGTTCTGGGACCTGGCACCTGGCTGTGGGTTGGAAAAGGCCTTGAATGAGCGGCTCATCACACCTGCCTGAGCCTCTTATGGCGCCATTCACGAGTTAGACTCTATGGGTTGGTTTCATGCCTGCCCTCAGGCTCGGCTCAAACTAGGTCGATTCTGGCTGTCCGGGGGTCACGCACGTTACGCGATTTTTTTCAGCTTGACCACTGGCCAACCAAGGTCTTGCTGAAGGCAGCATTGAACCAAAGCATACAAGTTTCGACATCCTCACCTAAACCAGGGGCAAACGTTAGCCCCCCCGTTTTCGAGTCCCAGCGAAAATGTGTCCCTCTTTTTTGGTGCCTCCGCTCGTCGCTGGACCGAGATCCGAGCTCCGAGATCCGAGCTCCGAGATCGTTTCGGAGGTGTGGCAGCAGCTGGTGAGCAAGTCCCACCACGTGCGCGTCTACATCGCCTACTGCGACTTTGAGGCCCCGTTGTAATTCGAGAGTCCTTTGACGGCGCCCATGTACTGGGGCGGGCCGGCCAAGGACATGCCCAAGAACCCTGAAGTGGAGCATGTGCCAAGAGGGGCCCAACAGAAAACCCAGTTACCTGGAAAATGACGGAACCACACACACACACCCAGTTGCTGCTCGACATGCAAGAACAACCAGCAGGAAGTGAATCATCTAGCGGGAATCGCCGATTTCAATCCGGAGACTGGCTTAGTCATGGTTGTCGTTGGGACACATTTTACATTTTGCTTATTGAGGTTACTGCTAAAATGAGATTTGTTGCTCCCCTTCCAACGTCAACCAAGTCTTATGAGGAGATCGCCAAGCATGGCACTGTTTGCTTTTGGACCATCCGAAGGGTAGCTCTCGCCCGGACATCCGCTTTTCGTCCGGCGACCGGGACTGGGCCTGAGGCCACGTGAGGCACTGGAAACTTCAGGAATCTCAGCCCGGGTTTTGGCTTGGGTTCCTGGAATTTGTGACGCCCTGCGTCGCCAAACATTCCTGGAAGCAAATTCAGACTGTGGCGCCTTGAAAGGCGCGCTCACTCCCCTGGTTCTCAGCCTTGTGCTTGGTGACCTGCTTTTCTGGAACTCCAGCCCTGTCTCCCGCGGTGCTCCACCCCTGCTTCCCTCGCATCAAGCGAGCGAATTCTCCCCTCCCCTCCCCTCCCCTCCGCGTCGCAGGCGGTGACGTGTCAGTCCATGGCGATGGCCAGGGAGGGCATCGAGGAGGGCCAAAAGCACTTCAAGGCGCGCGGGAAGCGTACCTCGCGGGCGTTCGGCGGTTTAAGACTGGGCGCTCGAAAAAACCCATTTCGCGCTCGTTTTTGCGGGCGTTTTTTTTTTTTTTTTGGTGCCGGGTTTGAAAGGCCTGCTCAAAGGGAGGTCTAGCCCATGTTCACAACTACTAAAATAGACTACAGAAAAAAGTTGGTACCCTTATTCTAACCTCTCTACTGACATTCTAGCCCTAGATTGGAAAACGGGGCCTGGTGGGGGACCTTCATCATTTTCGTAGAAGGGGTCTCCGAACCTGGGCGGGTAAAGTGCATGGTGGGATATGGGTCTGTCTTTTTTTGGGGGGCACCATGGGTACCGCTTTTCTGGTTGGATGTTCAAACCACTTCCTCTTTTTTTTTGCTGGGGGGTCCCCCAAAAAATGGCACACCCGCATGACTCTTTCTGTGATACCAAACTGCGATTGACTCCCATCCCAGAACGTGCTCACGGTGTTACAGAAGGCGCAAACCCCGTAACCCATTTGCTTCCAACTGCCCCCTCCGAAATAATAGAAGAAACAACACACACAAAAAAGAAGAAGCAAAAACCAAAAAGCAACCAAAACACCACCAAACACAGCTCGTAACCCTCCCCACCTCTCTGCAAAAGCAAGAAGAAGAAACAAGCCAACAAGCAGGAAAACAGCTTCCCTACAAGATGCAACTCTAAGAGCCCTGTTGGGCTCACCTTGTGGATTCCTTCCATTTTGAAGGAAGTCCAAAGTAGGAAGCCAACAATGTGGATAGCAATCATATGTTGGGTTCGAATCCTAGGTTCCAGAAACTAACCATTGTTGGGCTCCTAATCTTGAGACAACCTAGTGGGCACAGGTTTGATCAGGTGGATAGTATAAGAACCCTGTTCTGTTGGGGTCATATTGTGGATTCCTCAAATTTGAGGGAAAGCAAACGTAGGAAACCAGCAACGTAGACGTGTCAATCATGTGTTGGGGCAAGCTCCCGGGTTTTGGAATTTCCCAAATTCAGGCTATAAATTTTACATTCGAAGCCTCCTCAAATTGCTTTGTGAACTTCAATCCCAATATAGATGCCCACCAAAGACCAAAGACAGCCTTGCTTGCGATTCGCCGTGCCGGATTCACGTGGATTCGCATCAGCCGACTTGGGATTCACATGGCTGCCCCGATCGCAAGGATCGCACGACCTGTTTCACCCAGCCAAAAGGAAACCAGTGGATAGCGTCACAGTCATAGGTGTCCTTTTTGGTTGTTTTGGTAGAAAAATAGATGGCCCTGGTTTAGCTGGTGGTTTAATCATCTACCAGGGCCATCTATTTCCTCTAAAAGGACACCCATGGTCACAGTGCTGATGAACATGTTGAGGGAGACCGCAAGTGAGAAACCAACCTGGCAAAGAGTCGCTAATTCTTAAGGGATTACATCCATCCCATGGCAAAACCGTGGATTCATCCATCCACGAATCCAGGTGCTCGAGTTTCTTCAGTCGCAATCGCAGGTGGAGAACCGCAACGAGGAGCGGGCCATGCTGCTGGAGCATCTGCCGGGCTCAAAGTCTCGGTTGTTTTGGGCTTCTTGCTGGTGCGCGATAGGCAGGAATGCGAAATGGGTTTTGGGAATGACTGTTTGGGGATTCCCTTAAAGGAAACCATATAGGGGTTCCCTCATTTCCTTGAGTTATTCAGCAGGGAATGAGGGAAGGAAAAATGATAAACAATCCAACTGGTGGCTTCCTTGAAGGGAATCCGCACAAGTGGTTCATTCCCAACTCCCACACTCGGTCATCCCCTACCTATCGCGCCAGTGAGTTTTTGGAGGTTGCAAACCCAGGTCCTGATGAAGTTTGGGGCCTCAAAATGGGTTCGGTCTTGACATCCCTGAAACAACTTGGGGTGTGTGGTACGCTTAACGAGTTTTGGAGTTTTTTTTGGGAGGTTTTTCGGAGGTGCGTTTTGGAGGTTTCGGAGGTTTGGAAGGTTGCACCCTTTTCGAGGAAAATCAAGACAACCTTTTTCGGGCACCTTTCTTGGGGCATGCGCATCCCGGTTTGGAGGAGCAAAACGACAGCTTGTTGTTGTTTTTTGTGGGTTTGCTTGGAAGAGAGAGGGGCGCTTGCGAACGATTTATTTTGTGGGTGCCCAAAAAGCATACAAGTCATTCAAGGTATTCAATGGTCAATTTGTTTTGGGACATGGGGGGCTCATCATTCTTTCCCGACCAAAAAGGGGAGGCCTCATCGATTCCGCCATGGCTATAGGACTGGGAGGGCCGCAATTGCGCATGAAATGGGCTTCCTGGCGGGTGGACATCAAAGGCTGAGAAAGCGGACACTCCTTCCAGTCAGACATCCCTCGTGAGGAGCTTTGTTTGCCCAAGCAAGAGACCTGTGCAAGGATTACAGGCTCACTCAGGGCTTCCTTGTCTTAGTGTGACTCTCCCGGACTCACTCATGAAGCGCTCGCCCTCGCCTCTGCGGCCGGGGATTTCCCTTCACGGGCCACAAAGTGCTCG